ATTTCACATGTTTTTAGGTTGGATTCTAAAATTTATTATTTTAAGTTAAATAGCTACAAAAAACATTTCATACTGACATTTTCAAATAAATCTTTTATATCACTTTAAAATGTATGCAATTAATCTTAAAAACCCATATCCAATAACATCTACAACTGTGAATAAGCCCTTCTTTAGCAGTCAAAATTTTTATATTTTTCTCCTTTTTTTCTTTGAACTCACATTTCCATCCCATTTCCCCACAGAATTTTTTATTCAAATGCAACATATTGTATGCTTGGAAGACTTTTTTTATCACCTTATCATACTTCTCTGCAAAATATGTATGTAACATTGAAATTTTATTTTTTATTTCCTGTGACCTTAAGGGTCTAAATGTTAACATTTCTTTAGAGTTGCATTAGCGTTATAATTATTAGTAGAACACAATTTTTTTCATAAATGATTTTTAAGTATAAAAAGTTATTTTGGAAATGCTTGTATTAATTGATGGGTAGACTGTCCCCTCTCCCGATTTATTTCACATATTTACAGGTGAATATTATTTTATCTATATTTTACCTATATTATTCTAGTCTAGAATAATATAGACTTCAGCATCAATTTTATTTATATTATTTACTTCATATACAATACTCACTGAGAAAACTTGTTTACACAAATAAATAGATAGGAATGAAAGGTATTTTGTTACAGCAGTGTCACTGAAATCTTTGAAGTCTTTCCGAATGGTAAGCCAAAACCCATATAGTAATTTATCATCAAATCTCATTTGTAATAAATTTAAGCTGACAATTTTATTAGGTCATCCTTCAATTTTGTTGAAAGCAAAGAATTGGAAACCACCCGACCTGCAAAATAATTTGTAATCCAGTCATTAACAATCTTTCCCTCTCTTTAACCCCAACACCAGCATTTTGAACTGTGGTTAGTTTAATGCCCTAGAAGTTTTTAAACCCATCCCCTGAGCAAATCTCTAAAGTAAGATAAACAAGTCGCTGAAGTAAGACTTCAGATGGTTGAAAGGTATTTCGTTTTAACAAAAGGGAAAAATATGATTAAGAAAAGGGAGATGGGGAAAGTGGCCAAGGGGCATTTGCAGGCAAATCCATTTTAGTGAGGAGCGCTTGTGGAAATTGAGGATCCAGCAAAAGACTCACTGAAAACCAACCTCATTTCCACCTTTCCTGAAATGCTTTTGTGAAAGTTCACCTGCCTCAGTGTGAAGACCATTGTACTAAGTATCTGGACACACTGAGAAAATGCATTACTTTCAAAAAGACCTCAACAGTAACACAGGGAATTCAAGAGTCCTGAAATGTAACTCAATCCTCAAAACTACCCGGATTCACTCCAAATGTAGATGCTACCTAGCTTGGGACAGCTATAAAGAGGTAAAACAGACAACAAAGTGGTCCTAACAAACAGCACAAGGAGAGGTGGGTGATCTTTAAGAACCTAATGTCTATGATTTTTCCAGCACTTCTCTACTTATTGGAAATCTTATAATGTCTTCAAGGTTGAACTGGCTCTGGGTCAGAAAGGACCAGAAGGTCTTCATGTTTCCTCCCTCAGGAATTTTGTGGCCACAACCAAAACTGAGGGAGGGGAGAATAGAAAAACTTCTTTGTCTCGTGCACACTCTTACTTTTTTCCCCCTTAATATGAAAATAATTGCCTCTATTCTTGGAAACCTGGCTTAATTAGACTAATCTGATTCTTTACTGGTAAAACTAACACTAAAATGTTACTGCTCTGAGTTCTCTAATTATAGAGCATTCACGCTTTTTCTTAACAGATACTAAAATCAAATGCTTTAATGTTGGATGAGGTCATTGTAAATAGCTTGTTATAAGGCCTAATTTGAGGTACCATATGAATTTCAGTGGATATTATGCAGTGACAAAGAAACACAATGTTTACTGCAGAAAAAAAATATGATTTGCTACTATAATTTATCTAAACATTGGTGAGGTCCTACAAGTTATTTCATAAGAAGTATGTTCGCTGACCATAACCTCCTGTTCCTCTTCCTTAGACCCCTTAAACTCAACCACTTCCTGGTTTCTCCTCTTAACCACCCGCTCTTCAGTTTCTTCCCTGCACGGCGTGAGTACCATGATCAACTCTCTCTTTTATGGATACTCTTACCAGACAGCTCAGCCCCCTTACTCCTTGAACTTCTGCTTGTATATTCTGCCAAATCGCAGCTCAGAGTCAACCAACCATCTGTTCTTCCTACTATTGCTTCTATCTTGCCAAGTACTGCTGGAGAAATTGTATAACTGCTGATTCATGCCATGACAATCTGCAACTCCCAAACTCACCTTGACCTTTAGCACTACTTGGCGATCCTTTCACTCTTGCCTGGTTGGCTTCCTTTTCCATGGTGCAGGTGCTATTCCAAACCTCAAGTCATTGCTCTTCCCAAGTTTCCTACCATGCTTCCTCAATCAACAGATGACTTAACTTTCTACTGCAGGAAAAATCAGTGTTCAACTTCCCTCCTTTCAATTTCTAACAGTCATCTATAGCTTCACCCTCCCTACCTCTGTCCCAGAGTTAATGTAGTCTATCAATTATCCATTCAATACTAGTTTTTGATTTTAAGCTCTTTTAATGTATACATTATTACAAGACAAATATTCTTCTTGAAGTCAGATTACAAATTGGCGAAATGGGCATCGGAATGTTAGGGAATAAAAGGTGCTGATTGGCCACTGAAAAGAACATATTCTGATGTCAGAATAGCAAATGTTCTTCCCTGTTCAATCATTTGCAAGCAAGGACACAAAGGAAGGTGAGTTGGATGCTGCCTGTCCATTAAGTGTTTTAAAATTCTAACATTATTCTGCCAACCAAACATTAAGACATGAAATTTAAAGAGGCTCTGCTTTAGTATCAATGCCATTATTGTTCTCTACTATTTGATACCACCTACATCTACAGTCTAAAAAAACTATTAGTAATAAGTCCACTTAGTTCCTTCTTTTAACTAGTTTGCTCACCCTCATTAAATCCAAACTTTTCATGGGAACTCTTAAGACAACCAGTGTGAATTACATTGTGTTTCATCTGATATGACTGTTCTAATTTAATGTCATATTATACTAGCTATCATACAAAACGTACAAGTGGCACATATTTGCTTTAGAAAATGTATTTGTAGGGGTGCCTGGGTGGCGCAGTCGGTTAAGGGTCCGACTTCAGCCAGGTCACGATCTCGCGGTCCGTGAGTTCGAGCCCCGCGTCAGGCTCTGGGCTTATGGCTCGGAGCCTGGAGCCTGTTTCCGATTCTGTGTCTCCCTCTCTCTCTGCCCCTCCCCCGTTCATGCTCTGTCTCTCTCTGTCCCAAAAATAAATAAACGTTGGAAAAAAATTAAAAAAAAAAAGAAAATGTATTTGTAGAGACTGCCTAAGAAGGTTTGCTGTAGAAGATCCTGATAGGAAATATTTATCAGATGCAACCAGGGGCAGATCCAGGTTTTTTTGGGACCCTGAAGTATACATAATTTGGAGATTTCCCTCTTTCTAAAAAAAGAATACAAAATTATGGATATAAAATGAGGTATGGAGCCTTTGAGAGAAGTTTGTAAAGATAAAGGGCTCTGAAGTTTAAGTTTCATCAGCCTCATATAAATCAGCCTTTTTTGTATTTTGTATTGCTTAGGGCATTAAACAATCCCCAAACCCATAACAACCAAAAACACATGAAAAAGTAAACACCTGACATGAGCCAGGAACTTCATATAATATTATATTTAATTCTCACTCAAACCTTTTGCCATTCTCATTTTTACAAAAATGGGACCTGAGGCTCAGAGAATTTGGTAACTTGCTCACAGTCAGCTCACTTCTCACAGTGAAGCCAAGATTCAAACCAAGATCGACGAACTAAATCTTGTGTTATTTCCACTACAATATTCTGCCTTTAAGGTTTCCCAAAACACAAAGAGGTTAAGTTACTCTGGAGGATGCCCATAGAAGATGCCCAGAAATGCTCAGTCAATACTTGAAATTGACATGACTTAATTCATATTTGAGAACATCACTAAAAATATTGCCCTAAAGCTGTGTTTAAAGGGCTTGAAGAAAAAAATAAAAAATAAAAAAAAATAAAGGGCTTGAAGAAACAAATGTGTGACTCTTTGGGTTATTTTCTGCTCACTAAGTTACATAGATGAAGACAGAAAATCTTAGTCTAGGAGAAGTGTGGTTCTAGCAAGGGAAGAAAAATGGAGGCCGAATCAGAATCTGGAAGTAAGTGTAAATTTGCAGTCTCTCAGGAAAAAGCCTGGCTGTGGAAGGACATACCGATAGTATGGATTTTTCACAAATTATGTCTCTTGCTATGTGTCCAGTATTATTCTCTCTTGCCCTGTAGTATATCAAGTTTTGAAGATAGGAAAATAATGATAGTTAGCTCATATATTGCTCACTATTATATCCATAGCTTATATTTGCCAGTTTGGCCTTTATTTTTCAAAAATGTCTCTTAGAGGTTTTTCTCTTCTCCTAAGACCCTCAGAAGGTAGATGCTCTGTATTTATATTTTCCTTACTCACAGAATCTGGACAGTATGTAGTAGACATTTAATGGAGGTTACTTGGCATGGAAGGTGGTGTTAGTGAGTTATTTTTGACCAGCCACTGTTTTCTAGGAATTCCATAATATAGATGTGTTCTGATTCTCTGCCCTATTCAATCAAAGACTTCAGGATAAAACTTTGGGCATTGGTTAAACCTAAGGAAAGAATTGATCAGATGTATCTAACAGTATTTTCAGTCAACAAGCTGTCTCTGATGTTGGAGTTACTTAAAACACCTGTTGATTCTGTGGTCTTAGGGCCATTGTGACTCAAGCTGCAGCTAAAAACCAGTCCAATGCAACAGACATTTCAAGAACAGCAGCAGAAAAATGATGACCTAACTGAATGGAACAAGAAGGCACGTATTTTCAAGAAGACATCTCTATTCTTAGAGTAGAAATTTCCCTTCAAGATGACAAGTGGTTCAAACCCTTCAGGATCTTACTTGCCCTCAAAAGTAAGGTGAGCCTTGAACAGATGCCAAGTGGTAACTATCCAGAAGGGAAAGGAGAGTCTCTATTATTAACCTAGGCTAAAGACAGATATTATTCTTCCCACAGATGTTCCAAAATAGATGACAACTACTTGAAGGAATTGAATGAGGACTTAAAGCTAAGGAAGCAGGAACTGCTAGAGATCCTAAAACCTCTTGAAGATAAGAACAATCTCTTATTCCAGAAGTTGATGTCTAACTTGGAAGAAAAACAGAGAAGGTAAGGGCTCCCTACTCAGGATTTCCTAGAGGGGAAAAAGCTGGAGAACTTTAATCCATAGGATTAACAATGATTATTTACATTTTTAAAAAGGTTTAGACATTTAGCTATAATAGATAAAGAATTTGTAGCCACAAATCAGTGGCAAGTAATCTTTTATTCACTTTTAGTAAAATTACATATGACTCAGCCCTCATCTCAAGGAGCTACAGTTATCACCCTTCTTCCCTAGGATGCCCATCAGAGAAACAGAGAAGAGCCTTTAGTATCGTCAGTCTATCATGGTTACACTGATAGCTCCTTATACATATTTGTGGAATGACTTTAGGGTAGATGACTCTGCTCTTCCCATGCAAAGCAGTGAAATAGAAAAATTTTCTGGGCCTAGGAGTCTTCTGGAGGTCTGGCCTCTTTAATATGCTAGGCAGATAAGGTCTCAACTCTTAACTAGAGCACTCACTGTTCTTGGGACCCACCAACTTTGTTTCCTTTCCAGTCTCAAAGAATCTCACCTTAATGGATCTACCTTCATTCTCTACCCTTACAGTAAGCATCTCAGGGAGCCCCGACTTTTGGAGAGCAAAAGCCAGGCAGAAAGTTGTGATCAAGCACCAGCTGCTTACAATGCAGAAATAAACGTCTCTCAGGGCAAGAGAACACAAAGGCTTGCTTCGCTGCTTATAATTAAGGAGGGAAAAGTACCATAAACATAAGCATAAATTAATGTTTTTAAAGAATAGAGAGTCTTTGACTCACTTGGTATTGATTCAGATTTTGTTAGAAACTTCTTGATGACTTGGATTCTCTGAGAGCTACCATAAGGATATAAGTGGTTTCCCCAACTAACTCAAATGTCTTTCACATGGAGAAGCAATACCAACAGAGATGGGGTAGGACATAATTCTTGGATTTATGCTGAAGACAACAGATTCTATGAACTCCTTCTTCACAGGGGCAAAACACCCTTTCTACCCCAAAACCCATACACCAAAATATTTTTCTGAAGGAGTAAAGAAGAGTCTCACTGGCTGTTGGAGGCCTAAGTTTTGAGCATTTTTGGACACAGAATTCATTTTAGAGCACATAGCTGAGGCAAATGTCGATTGGGAATAAAATCATCCTATAGAGAGCTACTATGTCCGGAAGGAATTCTGTAATTCCTATGACTTCGGCACCCATCTCTCTCCCTTGACAGAACACTTTCTGACTGCTTGCAGAGTATTAATACTACCCTTTAGGAAGTATTATGTTTTGTGATGTCTTTTCATTCTAGTCTACAGATCATGAGGCAGATCATGGCAGGGAAGGGGAGTGAAGAATCCTCAGTCATGGAGCTCATTAAGGAAGCAGAGGAGATGAAGCAGAATCTGGTAAGAGGTTGGTGGGCATTTCAGGGAATTGCCTCCTGAACAGGGCTCAACTCAATTACTACCATCAGATGTGGAAGGAAAGACAGTTCATCTCTAGCATCTGAGGCTCCAATACTCCTATCTCCTTCATCTAGAAAGGGGTTAGATGAAATGTTGGGCAAATTCAAGACTTGGTAGCAAAAATTCTATTTCTTTTTGACTCTTAAAAACTTTTCATTCAGGGGTTAGTAATACAAGCATATTAACCCTTCACATTTCAGAAAGAATAGAAAATACCAAAGTAAAATAAAAGAAATAGTTTGCTTCAGGAGACTCATAATTAAAAAACCAACAAGGTAAAGGATCTTAAAAATTATAAATTAGTGGTCTAAGCCCCAGAGAAACTTCTGTACGATCAGAACATCTTAAGTGTTGTGTGAGGAACACATTTCTGTTGATATCATACTATAATTACCATAATTATAGTTAGTATTAAAAATCATTATTATTTTTTTATTATCATCATCATCAAACTCATCTCTCATGTTCCTGGATTTTGAGCTAGGTCTATTTATTGCCTTCCTTTATGGTTTGTTTTATACCTGTGTCCCCATCCCTTTCCCCTCATTATTTATAATTTCTTCCAATTTCACTTTAATGACTGGACAAACACGTTTCTGTTTGTTTGGTTTCCTCTCCACCCCCAACAGGAAAGGAAAAACAAGACGCTTCGGAAGGAAATGGAGATGCTATGGAACAAGGTGTGCCTCTAAGGATCTCTTGATAGAATTGTCTTACAGGCCCTAATGCAAAGAACTACCCTCTCCTCTGGTCCCCATTCTCATTTTGTCACGTCCCGGCTTCCATCCTTGCCTCCTTCCATTCCATCCTTCACACAGCAGCCAGAGTGACATTTTTGAAATAATCAAATCACGTCGTTATTCTTATGGAAACCATTTATAGCTGCTCCTTATTGTGGCATAATGTGGCTGTTGCCTGCCTCTCTCTTCTCACAGAAGTCTTCCCCTTCCTTACTTTCTATGCAACCCACACGGGCCTCCTTATGGATTCTCAAACATGCCCAGACTCTTCCTATCTCAAGGCTTTTGCTTTACCCTGGCCTATAATACTATTTCTTTTGGTTGGCTCATATTCATGCTTCAGGTCTCTGCTTAAATGTCACCTCCTCAGGGAGGTCCTCCTTGTTCACTCTATCTAAAATAGGGCACCCCGGGGCGCCTGGGTGGCTCGGTCGGTTGGGGGTCCGACTTTGGCTCAGGTCATGATCTCGTGGTCCCTGAGTTCCAGCCCTGTATTGGGCTCTGTGCTGACAGCTTGGAGCCTGGAGTCTGCTTCAGATTCTGTGTCTCCCTCTCTCTCTGGCCCTTCCTCCCTCTCTCTCTCTCAAAAATAAACAAACGTTAAAAAAATTTTTTTTAATAAATAAATAAAATAGGGCACCCCTGCCTTACTTTCTATTACATAACTCTATTCATGTCCTCCATAGCACTTTTTATAATTAAACTTATTATTTTTATTTTATTATTATTATTATTATTATTATTATTAATTATGATTATACTTGTTTCTTATCTCCCTGACCCCCTCTGGAATACAAGCTCCTCCAGTTTCTTGATTGCTTTGTTCATCTCTGAATCCTTAGCATGTAGCACAATGCTTAGAACATAGTAGACAATAAATGTAAGTTGGATGAATGAATTAATAAATACCTAATTCTAATTCTCCTATGATTTTGCAACAATCATGGCGTTGCCTAATATATAACAGTAGGGCCTTTTGCTGGGAAACCAGGTGGGAGTGGATGTTCCTTTGTAGTCTAAGTCGTTGGGATTTGAGTGCTTTTTCACAGACTAGAAGACTAGAAGAATAGATTGTGTCTTGTGATATAAACAGTGTGTAGTGTGATCTCTGACTGCTTTTTTCATATTAACTTTCCACAAATAATCAGGATACCATCAAGTCTTGCATCTTGACCTGAGATCTGCTCCTACTTCTCAGAGGTAGCTACAAATCAGTTCTGTGAATTGTCAGTTTTAGTTCTTCTGTTTTTGAGTCCTTGTGATAAGAGCTATGCCAGCACAATTCGTCTATGAAAATCCAGCTTCTTCAAAGCTCCCAAAAGATTTTAAAAGGGATGTCCCTGTATGTTAGCTTGTGATTGGCTTTCCCTACCCATAGTTTTAGACAGCAGAAAGTGGAGAGAGAAAAACAGTATGGTCAGGGGCTAAGAACATAAGCTTCAGGGTTCACAAGATCTGCTTCAAATTCCAGCTCTGTACTTTTGTAGCTGTGTGACCCTAAACAAATGACTTAGCCTCTTCAAATATCTTTTCCTCTTTGGAAAAGATGGAAGTAAAAATAGTCCTGTGAGGCTTAAATGAGAATGTTTGTAATGTAGTAGCATATTGTAAATAAGTAAAGACATGTGCAAGTAGCTTACAGTACTGATGGCTTATAATAAGGGTACAGTTAGTAGGTTTTATTGTTATAAGTTACACTAAAGAGACCAAATAGAAGGACTTGTTCCATTCTGAACCCCATTTGGTAGTACACTTTTCTGGTCGAACCCTGACAGTTTCCTGACTGGCAGAAACCAAAAAACCTTGACTTATATTGGTTTTCCACTTCCCTCACTAATTCCCACTAATTTAAAGCTTTGCCAAAACGTGTCTCTACAGACATTCGACACAGAAGAACTTGGTGATCAACAAAAAGCACCGCAGATAAAAAACAAAGCAGACTTGCAGGAGGGGAAGGCAAGTGGACTACATGTTACTTAGAATTTCAGGGTTGTTGATGCCACGCTGCTGGAAACAGCCTGTTGACAATCAGGGCTAATTTGGGCAGGCAAATAGGCGGGATCTGAGCCTTGAGCATATGTGTGTTGGATTTACTGTTGGCTGAGACATTGTACTTCTTTCCCGGGAACTTCTCTTCCTTTAGCTCTCTTCTTTTATACCAGGTTCCCAAAACCCCCTCCTCACCTAGGAAGAGCAAGAATGAACTGGAGACATCATGTGCAGAGAAAGTGAAAGAGAAAAAGAAGGTAGTGTGATCTTTCTGAATGGTAGGGGCTTTTAGAGGTGATAGAATGGAAATTTTTAATAATGTATTAGTATGCTCCTGAAACTGATACAAGTTTTATAGGAGATGTGGTTCCTTTGGGATATTATATTTGAATCAGAGTAGCATTGCAAGTTTAGGGGAAATAACGTTAACGAGGGCAAAGTGGGAGAAACTATACCAACAATGTAACTCCACAATAACTATGTGATGTCAAAATAATAGCTAATTTGTTTTTGAACATTTATTTAGGGATATTATGCTTGTATCTAATCTTCTCACAACAAATTTATTCGTAAAAATTGATTCTATTCATTTAGCTTTTAGCTTTTAGAGCATGGATTGTACCGATGAGGGCTACTAGAAGGACTGTGCAGTTGAAACCAATTTATTAGTGAATCTATGACAGCATACTTTGGCTATGAAGTCTTTGCAGCGTTTTGAGAATGCTGATTTCTGATCTCAATTTATTTTGTCACCCAGAAGCTCTTTCTTCCACCAGGAAAAGCCACAGAGGAAAATGGAATGGGTCAGGTATCAGGAACAAGCCAACATCCTTCAGGTACTAAGATCTTCCAAGGTTGGACATGGGATACAGTTTCACTCAAATAATACAACGTCTTTTAGTTTCATAATAGTAATCCCTATGCCCTCCTCTGGATTACCAATTATCCTGCTAAAAGAAATGTTCCATGGCGAGATTGCTGTGGAAACCTATCTCCAGCTTCACCTTGAATAACTTAAGATAAATACATTTTTTTTCCTTTAGTCTTGATTTTGTTCTATTTGAAATGGGGGTGGGGGGAATCACAAATACTTTCTGCCCAACTTTAAAGACTGAGCATGATGGGATCATTTTAAACTTCTGAGTAAAAAGGTTTCAAGTAACAGGTGGTTTAGAGAAGCCAATACTATATGTGTAGCTCTGAAAATGTTCTCCTGTAGAATGGCTTTAATGGCAAAATGATTGAGTTGAGAATTGAAGCCTTGAAGAACTACCAGAAGGCCAATGACCTGAAATTGTCACTGAACTTACAGCAGAATTTGGAGCCAAAGCAAGCATATTTTAATCTTCCTGGGTCTCGAGGTAGGTAAAGTATCGGTATACATGTGGAGGTTTTATTTTATTTTACATTGAAAATTCCATTCCTTGCAAAGTGATTACCACAATGCCTGGCACACAGTAAATTAAATGTTAGTAGTGACATAATAAGTTTTATAACTATCATTATTATTTCTCAGAAGCTCTGGTAAAGTAAGGATTCCTCTGGAGAAAATGAATTTTCTTTTGTAAAGACTAAATTACATATTATGTACTTAGTATATGTAGTTGATACATAGTTGACACCTGATAACATTAGTTTCCTCCCCACTTCCTCCATTTTCCTAGGAATTATTGTAGTTTGATCTCATGAATCTTGTTGGAATAGACTCTGCTATTTCAGAACAGAAGGCCAAAGAGATAGCCATCTGACAATGGGTGTGAGTTTTGCCAATCCAGATTTTTCTCTGAGATTTTCAGTGTTTCCTCCCCCCTCCCAAAGAATTTATGGCATCATTAGAGAAAACAGTAACTGATTTTACCATAAAAAAAAAAAGAAAAAGAAAAGAATGGGGGCGGCTGGGTGGCTCAGTCAGTTAAGTGTCCAACTTCGGCTCCAGTCATGATCTCATGGTTTGTGAGTTTGAGATCCGTGTTGGGCTCTGTCCTGACAGCTCAGAGCCTGGAGCCTGCTTCAGATTCTGTGTCTCCCTCTCAATCTCTCTACCCCTCCCCTGCTCGTGCTCTGTCTCTCTCTCTCAAAAGGGAATACACTTAAAAAAATTTTTTTAATAAAAATAAAAGAATAGCTCCTGAGGGACAGGAGAAAAGGTTCTTAAATTTTCAGGGATCTATGAATCTGAACTCTATTTTTTAATTTAAATTATTTTTATAATTTAAATTATATATTTTTTAATTAATTACGTATAACATGTAATATATACAAAAGAACGTACGGAATATATGTAATTGTGAATTACATATATTCATATACAAGATAATAAAATTACTCCCCATGAATATACCAGTCTACTTAAGAATGGGAAAATACTTAGTACAGATGCTCCTGTGTGGAATCTGAATTCTATTTTAAAAAAGACACATGCAGTGAGAAATCATGGTTAGGGGATGACAATGTTTTATTAGTATTGGTATCAGTATGTATATCTCTAATTTCTTCTCAATCTTATTCTATTAAGGGCTCGAACAGCTGATAAAATCACACAGAGCACATAAGATTAAATAAATATATGAGTAAATCAAATCAAAGAGAAAATAAGTTGAAGCCAGGTAAATACATGAAAATACATGATGAAAGTATTATATGTAGTTGGTAGAAGCAGGCTTCAAACTTGGTTCTGGATTTCCCAGAAAAAGAAACATGGGTTTACATTGTCCACAAAATAATAATAAACCAATTGCTCAGGAGAAATATAGATTTTACTAGTACTGAGACCAGAGAGAAATTTCTCTTCCATGGAGATGGGATACTCTACATATGTTATAGTAGCTAATGTCCTCAACAATATTTCTAAGGTGAATTCAGAATCTAAATTTCCTAGCCTGTTTCTTATCTTTGTTGGCACAATATAATAAAAAAAATTATCAATCTGAAATTTTTAAAAAGCAATGGGTCAGTTCAAGATGATTTGGTCCATGTGCACAGCACACTATTAGTCTGACTTGGCCCATAGATAAAATTTACAAAATCTAGATGGCTGGATCTACTACCCATGCTTTAACCCGTGTTCTACTTATATTTTTTCTTTTAACTATTGCTTGATAAGAATTGGAAACAGAAAGCTTGAGATTTTCTTCTCCAATAAGAACCTAGAATACAATCAGAAGCAATATAAAGTCATCAAGTTATAAATTTAAAAGATGGAGGAGAAGAGGGTATGAGAAGGACAGATTCTTGTTTTACTTTAAAATTAGCTGAAGGTCATTTCAAAGGATCTTAGAGTAAGGAGTTTAAAATCTTTTAGCTCCAGATTCAAATCAAGTCAAGATTAGTAAATAGTGAAGGGTTCCATTTGATTCAATCACCCTATGGAGATTTTTTTTTTTTTCCTTCCTTGCAGAACGTTGAATCTTTGAACTTTGGACTAGGGCAGCCCACAGATCGTACCCTCTTTTCTCTTATCTCCTCTTTATGCTTCTGGAGAATTAAGTGATAGGGCACTAAATTTCCAGTTACCACAAATGAAAGTAGCTACAGGCATGTGTGACCCATTACTGCTCTGTCTTACTGATTGTGCATTCACTGAACACTGATTATAGGCCAGTTTCATTTTCTAACACCCACATAACACAAAATCTTTGGGTTTATTTGAGCCTAAGGGGATCTGAAATCTGAGTCCTAGATTTTATGTTGACTTCTTTGTTTGATTATTGAAAAAAGAACAAAAGAAGCATTAGTTTTCTTCATAGAGGGATTTTTAAAGTAATTATGTTAAGATAACATTATCAACAGTGATGTGATACGGTTTAGTCATGCTCAGTGTTTCCCAAATTCCCTTAGTCTATTTTTTATTCAGTATGTTCTGTTTAGATTGGCTTCCTTAATTTCCTAATGCATTCCTGGAAAATAAAGTTAATATTACTGTTTTATTATTTTTTTAAGTTTATTTATTTAAGAGAGTGCACGCATGCATAGAGTGGAGGAGGCAGGGAAGGGAGAGGGGAAAGGGGAGTGACAGAGAAAGAATCCCAAGCAGACTCTTCGCTGCCAGCACGGAACCTGGCCCTACACCGAAACTACAAGCCACAAGTTTATGACCTGAGCTGTAAATCAAGAGTCTGAGGCTCAACCTACTGAACCATCTAAGCGCCCCAAAATTCCTATTTTAAGTGGAAAACCAATAATAGTTTTCCATAATAGAAAGTAAACTTAATAAGTATACTGAAAACAAGATTTTAATGTTCTAACCAGATGCTAAAGCCTGAGGTCCGTTTTATCTTTATTAGGAAGTGAGATTAGCATGGTGTAGGGAGTTTTAAAGCAAACCTGCACCAAACCGAAAATTTCTCCTTGATGCAATCGAGTTTGAAGAACTGAAAAGGGAGTGATTTTTTCACTGTGATTTATATAGTATTTAATGCTGTGTTCTAGCACCTCCTAAATTTATTTCAGTTGCCACTCAAAATCATCCCACCATCAAATTTCTGGAAACAGTACTTTAATAGAAAAGCTCTGGTTTTACAGTCAGATATATGAGCCACAGGCCTTATTCTGAGGCTAAACAGTTAAATAACCCAGGCAAGTCATTTAGTTTCAGTTTTTTCTTTGCCTAAGACAGTCAAAACATATTATAGAGCATATTGAAAACATGTGGTTTTGGGTAATGCTCACAATAACTCTCTAGGGTAGGTATCATAGGACAAAAAACTAGTTCAGAAAAGCCAGGCTTCTGACTCCATCTCCAAAGTTCATCTCCTAAAATGTGCAGAAAATGCCAGTGTTAAAGCATATGATATCTCATGACCCTTCCACATCTAAAAGGTATGATTTAAATCTGAACTTATCAACTTTTTAATATGTAATCGTCCCAATGAAGACTCATACTCCCTAAGGGTAATTTGTTTAGTAGTAAAGGAAAACAGTTCAAAATAGGTTCACAGTTTGTAATTCTTCATTTAACCCAGTAGGTGGCACCAATTACATCCAGGCTTCTAGTCCACAAATAGTGGTAATTCAGGAAACCTGAAATATCGTCAGAGAAATTGGCCTTCTATTACTCTTAGGACAAAATGTGCTACATTTATATATCAAATGAAAAAAAAAACTATTGATGTTTTCTTCCATGCTCTGCACTGAGGTGTATTACTGGCAGCCTTGATTAGACCTTAATAAACTCCATATTCTGCTGTGCAATCCTTACCTATTATTCTATGCCTTGAACTAGAGTTCCCTCCATTCCAAATACATCCACTGTCCACTTCCTCCACAATCCCTATCTAATACTGTTTCTTTCCACCACAGAAAATTCAGGTAATTGGGACACTGAATTATAAAATGAGTTGGGCAATTGTACACGGTGTTGATTTTTTGAAGTTTAAGTCCTTAATACTGTTCCTAGATACAGTTCATTTTCCTCTAGTTTCAAAAGAATTAAATTTCACAAACCTGTCTTAAAGGATGAAGTGTCATTTTGGACACACCTCCCAGCAAATCAGGGTATAGGCCCTTCTGTTCTAGGCATTTCCAAATAGAAAAAAGGTTTCTCCCACTACTCTTGGCCAAGAATCCCTCCTCCCACATGAACTGTCCTCTGTGCTGGTTGGCTGTGTTGCAGTGGTGTGATCTATTTGGTTGGCAAGATACAATCTTGTGTTAATATTAGTTTGTTGTACTTTACGCAATCCATACTTGCAAACCCTCTTGAGGCCCTGGTTATATATAGCATTACCTTTGTCAATCTAATCTGTTTGGCATTCCGCCTCGCCTAGGCTTATAGAAGAGAAAAACATTTTAGACCGAGTGAAGTCCTTATGGACATGGGTCACATGTAAAGGGATTTGCTTTCCCACCAGTGTAAAATTACAATTTGACCCAGGCTATGGAACAGTCCTTCCCCAGCCTCTGTAGAGTCAAGAGAACAGTTCGTGGTCTTTGGCAGCCATGTATCTTAGAGAGCACAGGCATGAAATAATCTTTCAATTCAGCTGACTTTTCCATCATGCCTGCTGGTAGTTTAAAGAGGAAGTTTATCTTCAGCAATAATATAACTGACGATAAGACATTTGATTCTGACAGACTTCTTTTCTCTCCTCCCCTCCACCTCCTCTCCCCACTGAACTCATACTCTTGGCATTTCCTTGAGTTCTTTTGAGAAGAGGCTGAAGGTTGGATGTGAATATTTTGCTACACTTATAAATTCAGATGAAAGCCCAGTGAGGTGGGAAATGAATACTCTTGAGACCTTATTTATTCTATAACTCTCTCTGTTCTTAAAGCAAGTCATTCTTCCTGGCTTTAACCTTTACTTCACTTTAGTATTACTCTTCCTGATGGCTGACATATACTCCAGTAAGTGCTGCCAAATAATGTTAAGCTAAAATGCTGGAAAACAGAGTCAGAAACCCACAGCTCAAATCTGGGTCCTTGGTAAATATGTTTTTAGGTTTGTTTATTTATTTTAAGAAAGAGAGAGAGCGCAAGCAAGGTAGAGGCAGAGAGAGAGGGATATAGAGAGAATTCCAAGCAGGCTCCCTGCTGTGAGTGCAGAACCTGACATTGGGCTCGAACTCAGGAGCCATGAGATATTGACTGAGCCAACCTCAAAAGTCGGAAGGAAGCTTAACCAACTGAGCCAACCAGGCACCCCTAAATATGGGCTTTTTAAAGCTTTGAGGCAACTTGAACCTTTTGTGGATTTTGTTATTTTACTTTATTTTGTTTTGTTTTGTTTTATAGAGAGGACTCACACAAGTGGGGGGAGAGGGGCAGAGGTAGAGTGAGAGAGAGAATCTTAAGTAGGCTACATGCTCAGCATGAGCCCAACTCAGGGCTCAATCCTATGACCCTGAGCCAAAATCAAGGGTCAGACATTTAACTTACTGAGCCACCCAGGCAACCCAACTCGAACTTTGAATGTCAAAGTTAGGTTTCTGTTACAGTAGTACTACATAGTAGTTACTATAGTTACTACTACTACCTATAGTAGGTTATGAAGTTAATTTTGAATCGAAGTCATTTTTTCGCTTCCTATAAAACCCCACAGAAGTCCAGGGGAGAATAAAATTCTTCCTTCCTAAAAATAAATTTTGAAGGTTGAAAAAAATAAACTGTACCTTTATTAATATTATGATTATTTCAATGAGTGACAATAGCTTCCAAAGTTTGTAATATCACACACTTAGGAAACTCAGCAGGATTATTAGGATAGGGTTGTCATATTTAGCAAATAGAGGATGTTCAGTTAAGTTTGAATTGCAGATAAATAATTAATGTTTTAGTATAAGCATGTTCCAAATATTTCATGGAACGTGCTTATACTAAAAATATTTAGTGTTTATTGAAATCCAAACTTAACTGGGTATCCTGGCAACCCTAACCTAGGACAGACTCACTACAGAGCCTACTTAAACGCCCCACAATTCTTCCCCCCGCCCCACTTTTTATTGGCTCTCTTCTTCATCTCAGCCTATGCCTGTCATTCTGTCTGCCTCCTTTTTTTGTCCCCACCTAAAAATACTGTTTCAAGTTGTTTTCTAACACAATTACAAAATCCACATTAATGCTAATGCCAGAGTCATTCTACAGTGATGCAATGATATGTGATGTGTGATGAATGTTAGTAGCCTTACAACTCAAAATAAAACCAGGTTTTGTTTTGTTGGGTTTTTTTCCTCAAAGAAAGCTCCCATTTTCCTAATGTTTCCCACCAGGTACTGTGAACACTACAACTACCAGCAGATTAACTACCAGCAAAAACGAATCTAATGTGGTAAGAACTAGTTTCATTTTCAAAATTATTTTAAAGGCTTGCATAGATAGTGGTTGTAGATTTTTAGAATTTATTTGTTAAAGTACATTCTAATTTAATATTTTTAGGAGATTTGTAAAGTGGGTGCCAGGGCACTTGATGTTTTAATTGTTTTTTGGATTCCCCCCACCCCGCCCTTCTATGTTGTAGAGAATTCTGGGATCAAAAACCTACACAGAACAACAAAGAGCTAAAGGAAATCAGTTTGATGATGTAGGAGGGAGGATCTTTTTTCTGAGGTCACTGCCAGATGAAGCTCTGAAGGATTAGAAGGCTTTCACTCCGTTTGCTTTGGACAGATTTAAAGACGAGGCACAGCCATTTGTGTTAATTAAAATCTCTCAAACCTTTGTTTTAATGCAGTTTATTCTGTCCCCACTAAATTGGGTGGAAATGCTAGTTAGATGTTTGACCTTAAGCATGTCAGGAATTTAGTCATTTAGGGATTGTAAAATAGTCCCTGATTATTTTGATAGCTTTTGATTTTGAAATGACTAGGTTCAAACCACATTGTATGTTGTTAACAAGTCCATGAAAGGCTGTTCCTCTCCACTTCTGAAATGTTTCATTCTGCACAGATCCATCAGTAACATATGAGCAAAAGTACATACAAAATAAGGAAAATTATAAGCCTTACAGTTTTTTTACTCTCTCGTCTATCATGTCCAACTGTCCTAGTTTGCCTCCTAGTTATCTGCCTCCATTCTGCCTCCTCGTTATCTTTTCCTTTAATATCTCCTACCTTCTTATCTTCTACCTAACTGTTTTAGTTCAGGCCCTCTTTCCGGCCTAGATTAGCATGGCTCTTAATTGGTTTCCCCTCTCTAGTTCCTCTATTCTATCTTCCACAGCACCTGAAGCTGTCTCTTCTAAAAGAGGAATGAGATCATGTCTTTTTCCTACTGGTTTTCCATTGACTTTAGTATAAAGTACAAACTCCTTCATAGACCATATAATGATTTACCTTCTGCCTATGTCTCTAGTCTCCTTTTTCACTGTATCTACCTTTCTTCATATATTGAGCTCAACAGACCTATTTGCAATTCCCCTGATGTGCCATGAGGTCTATTATCTCCATGCCTTTTGTATAAAGTTGATTCTTCTCTCCTTGTCTATTTGCCCATTAACATTTGTCCATAGGGCTGAGTTTGGTGCCCTTCTCCCATCCCAGCAATTCTTAATTTTAACTATTGTATTAGAATCTCCTTGGGAGCTTTTAAAAATACCAATTCACTAGGGAGAGGGGCCAAGATGGTGGAACAGCATGGAAGTTTTTTTGTGTCTTACATTCATGAAATACAGCCAGATCAACACTAAACCATCCTGTACACATATAAAACTTATTTAAGGATTAACACAACAATCTGCACAACCTGAACCACAGAATTCCACAGGTATGCAGCCCGCAGGGGTGAACTTGGGGAGAGAGAAGCCGCCGAGGTCAGGGAGCTGTTTTTGCTTATGGAGAGAGAACAGGGGTGGAGGGGGAGTTCAGGAAAAGGACCCCCCCCCAAAAAAAACCCACCTGGAGAGAAAGTGGAAAAGTGGAAACAGCTGCAGGGACTGAACTAAAAAGGGAGAAAGGAAAAAGGAGAGGGTTTAAATTCCATTAAGACTCTATAAACAGGGGGAGTGTAGAGTCTGAAACGCCACAGCTCAATACCTGGTGGTGCCCTGGTGAGAAGGGCGAATCCCCAGGAGCAGAGTGCAGTTGAGGGTCTTTGGGCCACACAGGGAGAGGCGGTTCCCCTGCTGGGAGGACATCTGGTAGAGGCTGTGTGGCTCCCCCAAAGGCCCCAGTGGACCCGGGAGAAAAACCACATTCACGGGTGCTGGAACAAGGTCATTGGGAGTGAAGCCTGGTGCCAGCTGTGTGGTGTGATTTTCCATAATCTCTGAAACACGGCTGCCACATGATCGTGTGAACTTTTTCTGGGGTAGGCTAGCACTCAGCCACAGTCTCTGAGCAGCAGCAGCAGCATGGTCCCTTGAACGTTCCTGGGAGCAGCCGGCACCCGGTCATTGCTGTGTGAGACCCTCCCACAGAGGGGCAGAACAGGTCAAAGCTGCAGTCCCTCAGAAGTAAGGGGTTGGGAAACACAGCTGCATCTGAGATAAAACTCAGGAGGGAGGTGCTACCTGGGGCTTGGTCACAGACAGCGTAAAAGCAGGGAGTGAATGGAAGCTGAAGACAAAGGACTGGTGCGCAATTGCTGGTCGGGGAGAGCACAGAGTTCGATACTAGAGACTGGGTAGCTGGGTGATGCCATTTTCACTGTTCCCATGCATGCGCATACGCACCTACGAGCACCACAACACTCCACCCCAGTAGGCTAGCAACGCCATCTAGTGGAGAATGGAGATGTTACACTAAGCCCTGCCCAACTGGGCCAATCTCACTCTTCAGGAACACAAATCCGCTTGCTTAGCTTAAGGACTATAAAGCTCTTCATAGTTTGACTTCTAGGGGAAAATGAAGTAATTTCAATCATGTTTCAGTGTGTTCACTGGTCCATCTGTTCAATTTTCTTTTTTTTCTCTTTTTTGTTTCTTTTCTTTTTCTTGAATACAGAAGGAGAAAAAATTTATTTTTATTTTCAATTTTTATTAAAAATATTTTTATTTGTTTTTTTCCACTATGTTTTACATTTTTGTGAATTTTTCAAATTCTATTTTACTTCCATAATTTCAGTTTTAAAAAATTGTTTATTTAATTTATTTTTTAATTTACATCCAAGTTAGTTACCATATAGTGCAACAATGATTTCAGGAGTAGATTCCTTAATGCCCCTTAGCCATTTAGCCCATCCGCCCTCCCACAACCCTTCCGGTAACCCTCTGTTTGTTCTCCATATTTAAGAGTTTCTTATGTTAGGTCCCCCTCCCTGTTTTCATATTATTTATGTTTTCCTTCCCATATGTTCATCTGTTTTGTATCTTAAAGTCCTCATATGAGTGAAGTCATATGATATTTGTGTTTCTCTGACTAATTTCGCTTAGCATAATATGTCTAGCTCCATCCACATAGTTGCAAAAGATTTCAAGATGGAAAGATTTCATTCCTTTTGTCCATCATTTCATTTTATTCTATTTCATTGTATTCATTTTTTTTTTCAAATTTTCAAACGTTTTCCTTCCCCCTGCTTTTTTCGCCTTTTTTTTTTTTTTTGGTTTTCAACAACAAGACCAAAACACACCTACAATCTAGCATCATTTATTTGATTTGTGTGTGTGTGTGTGTGTGTTGTTTTTAATTTTTTAATTTTAATTTTTGTTACTGTATTAATTCCTTTTCTTCCTTCAAAATGACAAAATGAAGGAATTCACCCCAAAAGAAAGAGGAGGAAGAAATGACAGCCAGGGACTTAATCAACACAGATACCAGCAAGATGTCTGAATGAGAATTTAGAATCACAATAATAAGAATACTAGCTGGGGTTGACAATAGATTAGAATCCCTTACTGCAGAGATAAAAGAAGTAAAAGCTAGTCAGCATGAAATAAAAAATGCTACAACTGAACTGCAATGTCGAAAGGATGCCATGGCAGATGCTAAGGATGGATAAGGCAGAGCAGCAAATCAGCAATATAGAGGACAAAGTTGTGAAGAATAATGAAGCAGAAAAATAGAGGGAGACTAAGCCAAAAGAGCACGATTGAAGAATTAGAGAAATCAGTGACTCATTAGAAAGGAAGAACATCAGAATCATAGGAGTCCCAGAAGATGAAGAGAAAGAAAAAAAGGTAGAAGTGTTATGTGAGCAAATCATAGCAGAAAACTTACCTAACCTGGGGAAAGACACAGACATCAAAATCCAGGAAGCACAGAGGATTCCCATAAGATTCAAAAAACTGACCATCAACAAAGCATATGATAGTCAAATTCATAAAATACTAAGACAAGGAAAGAATCATGAAAGCAGCAAGGGAAAAAGAGTCCTTAACCTACAAGGGAAGACAGATCAGGTTTGCAGCAGACCTATGCACAGAAACTTTGCAGGCCAGAAGGGAGTGGCAGAATATATTCAATGTGCTGAAGTGGAAAAATATGCAGCCAAGAATACTTTATCCAGCAAGGCTGTCATTCAAAATAGAAGGAGAGATAAAGAGTTCCAGACAAACAAAAACTAAAGGCGTTCCTGACAACTAAACCAGTCCTGCAAGAAATTTTAAGGGGGACTCTCTCTGAGGGTAGAAAAAAATGAAGAAAAAAAGAAAAAAGGCCAAAAGCAACAAAGACTAGAAAGGGCCAGGGAACACCACCAGAAACTCTAATTCTACAAGCAACATAATGGCAATAAATTTATATTTTTCAGTACTCTCTCTAAACATCAGTGGACTCAATGCTCCAATCAAAAGACATAGGGTAACAGAATAGATAAGAACAAGATCAATCTATATGCTGTTTACAAGAGACCCACTTTAGACCTAAAGGCACCTTCAGATTTAAAGTAAGGGGATGGAGAACCATTTATCATACTAATGGTCGACAAAAGAAAGCTGGGGTAGCCATACTTATATCAGACAATCTAGACTTTAAAATAAAGACTGTATCAAGAGAAGAAAAATGGCATTATATCATAAAGTGTCTTTCCACCAAGAAGACTTAACAATTGTAAACATTTATGTGCCAAATGTAAAAGCACCCAAATATATAAATCAATTAATTACAAACATAAGGAAACTCATTGATAATAATACCGTAAGAGTAGGGGACTTCAACATCCCGCTTACAACAATGAATAGATCATCGAAACAGAAAACCAACAAGGAAACAATGGCTTTGAATGACACACTGGACCGGATGGACTTAACAGATATATTCAGAACATTTCATCCTAAAGCAGCAGAATACACATTCTTCTCCAGCACACATGGAATGTTTCTAGAACAGATCACATACTGGGACACAAAAAAGCCCTCAACATGTACAAAAAGATCGAGATCATACCACGCATATTTTCAGACCACAACGCTATGAAACTCGAAATCAACCACAAGAAAAAATGTGGGAAGATAACAAATACCTGGAGACTAAAGAACATCTTACCAAATAATGAATGGGCTAACCAAGAAGTTAAAGAGGAAATTGAAAAGTACATGGAAGCCAATGAAAATGATAACAATCCAACACAAAACCTCTGGGATGCAGCAAAGGCGATCACAAGAGGGAAGTATATAGCAACCCAGGCCTTCCTAAAGAAAGAAGAAAGGTCTCAGATACACAACATAATCTTACACCTAAAAAAGCTGGAAAAAGAACAGCAAAT